TCTAACTACCATTAGAAGCCCAACAAATCCTAACCTAATAAAACTTTTTTAATTTTAAAAAAATTAATTTTTTATATTAAATCCTTATATTTGTGTCTTTAATTTCAAGTATCTTAGAATGCACAAGGCTGATTTTGATAATCTTTCTACTATTAAAACCAAAAAAATCTTCTCTACAACTTTACTTAGAAGCTCAACAGACCCTAACTTAATAAAAACTTTTTTAATTTTAAAAAAATTAATTTTTTATATTAAATCCTTATATAGGGTTGTTAATGGGTTGGGTTAGGTTGGGTTGGGTTAATCAAAACCTCAACCCACTCCAGTGAATTAGACTTACTCCAGTGGTTTACTCCAGGTTGCTCTATAGCTGCTCCAGGTTGCTCCAGGTTGCTCCAAATTTAAAGATATAAGTCTAAACCCACTCCAACTTAGGTTGGGTTCTACTTCAGAGTGCTCTGGAGCAAGCTACTCCATTAACAACCCTATTCTTATATTTGTGTCTTTAATTTCAAATATCTTAGAATGCACAAGGCTAATTTTGATGATCTTTCTACTATTAGAACTAAAAAAATCTTCTCTACAACTTTACTTAGAAGCTCAACAGACCCTAACTTAATAAAAACTTCTTTAATTTTAAAAAAATTAATTTTTTATATTAATTTATTATACTTTCTATATTAAATGCTAAAAATAGTAATTTTTGTATAACTATGGTGAAAATAGCAAAATACCATGGTGGAAATAGATATTCCCTATAAAAAAGCTAATTACAAAAATCAAATTTATTATATTTAATAATAGATTTGTATTTAAAATTTTTCTAAATTTATATCTGTACATTATTATATGGGTTTACAACTAGTAATAAATATAAATTATACTAATAAAATATACTAATAAAATCTTCTAAAATATACTAATAAAATCTACTAATATAACAATATAAAAAAATAGTAATACTAAATTGCACTACTGGTGTTTAACACCAGTTCTGAATCAGGAGTCGGATGATCATATGATAAATGTAGATTTTGATTTTTTATTAGCTGTTTTAGGATCTGCCCTATAATACTAATTGAAGTTTTACTTATATGCATACTATATAATATATAAATTTTAAATAATATGAAATAAATGAAACTCTGATTACAATTAGAATAATTGCATCATGAAACTGTAATATAAAAAGATTTTCTCTTTTGTTTTAATTTTTATTAAAAAACTATATACGTACAGAAATAATTTTTGCTGCATCAAGACTATCTTTTAATATAGCAAGGTTTGGTTATTGTTTTGAGATAATTTTATATTTCTATTGCAGTTCTCTGCTAGAGTATCTTATGATGGCTATAAAATTTTATTACATTAGATTGTTTTTTATTTAATAAAAACAATTATTGAATGAATACTTTTCCGATTTTAAGTGTAAATAATTACTTCAACAAATGTAATAATTTTAAACCTAACAACTTTGATGATCATATTATTACAAATAAGGAGAATAACTTAACCTATGTTTTTTTTTAAAAAAAAATAAATCATAAAAATCGATGAAAATAATCCTACAATTGAAGCTACAATGGATATATTTCTGATTTTAAGTGTGGATGATTATTTCAGCAAATGTAATAATTTTAAATCTAACAACTTTGATGATTATATACTACAAATTAGGAAAATGACTTATTCTATTTTTTTTTTTTTAAAAAAAAATAAGCTATAGAAATCGATAAAAATGATCCTATGATTGAAGCTACAATAGATACATTTCTGATTTTAAATGTGAACAATTACTTCAGTGAATGTAATAATTTTAAATATAACAACTTTGATGATTGTATTACTACAAATTAGAAAAATGACTTATTCTATTTTTTTTTTTTTAACAAAAATAAGCTGTAGAAATCAATAAAAATAATCTTATGATTAAAGCTATAATGGATACATTTCTGATTTTAAATATGAATGATTACTTCAGTAAACGTAATAATTTTAAATCTAACTTTAATGATCGTATTATTACAAATTAGAAGAATGATTTACCCTATTTTTTTTAAAAAAAAAATAGCCATAGAAATTAATAAAAATAATCCTGCAATTGAAGCTACAATATATGAAATAAATACCGAAAGTAATAATTCTAACTTTGAATGTTGTATGACCATTTATGAAAATGACCTTGAGTTAATTGAAGCTACAGAAGATGTGGTGACTAATAGTATAGAACCTGTGTACTCTATTATATTGGAGATGATATTTACGGATTGGAATGAACTAGATTGGTATGAAGAATTGTGTATCTGAATTATAAGTTTAAAGTTTAAAACTTGATCTTAGTTCTATAAGCTTGAATATTTGAGTTTTTTTAGTACTGTAAATAATATCATACAACAATTTTCTCATATTTATTATTGTTATTTAGTTGGACCAATAATCATAGGTTGGAAAATGGCTTTGCTTTTACAATTACTCATAGTGAGTTAGATAAATTAGATGAAATTTCTCGACGTCACACTTATAAGTATATGAAGGGCCAACTATATGTTTTAAAAAAGAAAGCACATAACATTAAAAAATGTAATCGAGACCATCATAGTGGTAATTGTGCATTTTATATTAATGTATATTAACGTAAAGCAGATAAAAAGGTTCATATAAAAAATTAATTTTTTTAAAATTAAAAAAGTTTTATTAGGTTAGGATTTGTTGGGCTTCTAATGGTAGTTAGA